ATATGGGGAGTGGAGGGGCAGTAAGTGGAGAGGGAACTAGGAGAAAGAGAAGGGGAGGAGAGGAGAGCATGTGTGACCAGGAAGATTGAGTCAGGGGAGGAATACATGAGAGAAGAGGGAGAGAGGGAGAGGGAGAGGGAGAGGGAGGGAGAGAGAGAGAGAGAGAGAAAGAGAGAGAGAATGAAATAGGGAGCTCTAAGGAGTAAGGTTTTTTTCCTCCCGCCGCTGGTCTGGTCCCGCCACCACACCAGCCCCAATTAACACACTGAGACTCTGTATTTGATATAATTCTGTTGGCCAGTTACTTGTTTCTTATTGGCTAGCTCCGTCTTAATTATTAACCCATTTATGTTAATCTAATATTTCCACGTGGTCTCCTCTTAATGGAGAGCCAGCTGCAGTCCTGCTCTCTCCAGACTCTCCATCTTGACCCTAGTCCCTCCTATCTTCCTTTCCTATTGTCCAACAGTGCTTTATTCATTAACCAGTATGAGAAATATATATACATAATGGCATCTCCCATCAGGGAGCCATTATAGATTTTAAGAGAAAGCTAAGTTCCCTTTCTTTCCAGACATTTTATTGTTGTTTTCAGACAGGTGTTTCTTTAACAGCCTTGGCTGTCCTGAAACTTGGCTTTGTGCTCCAACTGGCCTTGAACTCACAGAGAGCCTGTGAGAAGGAGAAATAGCTTCCTTAGACAGCAAATACTAGGTATCTGATTTCTTAACATCTATAGAAAAGCAACTAAGAATATACATTTATGAATTGGGAATAATTGATCTAGGAAAATAGATCAGCCACGATTAAAATTTCAAGAATTTGTTACTTAGTTTTTTCCTAGGATAGTATCTTCAGATAAGTATCTTTGATATAAGTGGGTAATGTCTTCGATGGTATTTAAGAAGAGGGATTTTCTATTTCCTACTTCTTTAGGTTGAACACCTGATTTTTTCTCTGGAAAAGATGCTGGGTAAGCTTTCTATGAAAGTGATTTTTAACTGCTTTCTCTTCAACCCACAGGCCCAACTGCCTGTGAACTACTGGATTAATAATCCCTGTGTTAATACTCACATTGTTAGCTAAAGACAGAAGCAAGTAGTACAATGTTAGCCCTGGACCCAGTTTCAGACACACTGCAGTTTTGTTCATTTCAAGACCAGCAATGCCATCTGTTAACCTGTTTCAATGCCATCTGGGATTTCAGACTATCACTCTGTAAAGTCATGTTTAAATGTTTTACTGAGTTAATTCTAAGGGCACTTATTACCAGAACTTTCTATTTGAAGAACAAAGTTCTAACAAAGTTATTACTGTGTGGGAGCTTACTTGTAAATCAGGCTGCCTGGCTGCTCCTTCTCTCATATTAAAATATGAAACACCCGCGAGTACGTGAATCTCAGCTTGACTCAGGACTTGAAAGGAATGTTCCAATTCATTTGTGAATTGAAAGTATCCAGTATATCTGTAAAGATAATTTCATAGTAATATGAAATTCTGTTCTTTTTGAGTACACACTGTTAAAGGTGCTGGGCCAAACTCATTCTAATTGGCCCATATCACATGAAAATGAGTACAACTAATAAAGCGAAAGGAAGCACACTGACTGTTAGCTTCAAAGCTCAGCCCTGAGCTCTCTCCAGAATCATACAACACAAGAAATGGGTATAAATAACTGCCAGTGAGATGCCCTCTACAGCTTCCATGCAGATCTGAGACAATTGAAAACAGGATTCTTTGAGTTATTTTTCTATTTCTGTGTAGGGACACCATGACTAGAGTAACTTATAAAATAAAGCATTTAATTTTTTTTTGGGGGGGTCATATCATGGTTTTAGAACATAGTTGGGTCCATGTCCATCCTGGTGGGAAGCATGGCAGCAGGTGGGTGTGCATGGCACTGAGAAGTAGCTGAGAACTTATATCTGACCTACATACATGAAGCAGAGAGAGGGACAATTGGAATGGTTTGGACTTCTGAAACCTTGAAGCCTACTTCCCAGTGACACACATCTGCCATCAAGTCTACACTGCCTAGCCTAATGCTTTCCAAACAGTTCCACCCACTAGACCAAACATCCAAACATGGATAGTTTTATTTAATAACATACTCTTCAGGTATGGTTTCAAGATCAGCCATAAAGATGCTTACAACTACTTTTGGATCCTCATCTTTAAACATTGATGTAAGCTACACTGATCGCCTAAAGAAAAAAAAGGAACAGAGAGAACTAAGATTCGGCTTCTTGGTGCCATGTCCTGTGTATCCATTCTACCACCCAATGTGTTTTGATCTAATAGGAATATTTTCTAAATGATTTTAGTTATAACGATGAGCAGGGATAGGTGTATTAATGTCTCAGAATAGAAACTCTTTTATTCCACTTCCTTATGTTTCTTTCTTCTTTCCCTAAATCATGTTCTCACCATTTATTTTTCTTGTAATATTCCATCTGCAATGGCTTTTGCTAAAACAGTACACAGGTGGTGGTGGGCAGTGTAGTGGGAATAGAGGTGGGAATGTGTTATGTCACTTACCTCTGTCTTTTCTACCAATTCCTTGTGAGTTCTATCTAGGTCTACTCTTCCATCTGTCCCTGCACTTGACTCTGGGCTCAGCTCTCAGTCTTGGCTGCAGGGCAACTTCTGAGCCTCTGCTTGCCTCACAGCCACAGTCTGTCATGCCAAAACTGTCCTTTAGATGTGGGATAATGCTCGCTCCCTCTTGTGTGTGCTCTGTTCCCACTTATGATTTGTTTTTCAGGACTAGGTCCTCATTTTCATTCTTTTTCTCTTCCACAAACTCTCTTGATATCACTCAGAATATTGGCAGTAACATGGGCACAGAAGGCATTTATGATGAGATCTTAGCAACTGAGGAATAAGGGGCTGGAACCTAGAGTCAAAATTTTTCTTATATAGCTGCAAAAAAAAGTTGGCAAGATTTCATGGATGGGATGGTTGTGTACTTCATTTGGCAGGGTGCTTGCTTACGGTGCACAGAGCCCAGAATTTCATCCCTAGTACCAAGCATGAAGATGCATGCTTGTAAACTGAGGACTGGGGAAGGAGCAGCCTAATAAGTTCAAGGTCATCCTTGCCCCCACAGTGAGTCTGTTAGCTTAAACTATATATGAGACCCTATGCCATTAAAAGTGTTATGTTTGTATCCCAGAACTTTATGGGATGTAGAATGTTAGAGTATTCCAACTACCATGTGATAATTTTAACAATAAATAGGAAGATCCAAGAGAGAAAAAGCTTAATGTGCAATTTATAATTGAAAAAAGAAACCAAACTGGAAAGAGTTGAACATATTTACAGAATGGTCAGGTGAAGAATGCAAAGTCATTTGTAGCTAAGGGATTGAGATTAGCATAGACAGAGGGGTCATAGACAATGGAAGACAAGTCGTACAAGGGTTTCAGAGCTTGTCAAGGCTTCTTTTCTAGGCCCAGAGCTCTAAAAGAACAGAGTGCTTTGAGGGGATGGACACAGGATGGCCTCCAAGTGCTCCCTGACATAGCCTCTATCACTCTGCCCCAAATATTCTGGAATAGCACTGGTCAGATGCTTCATGCATAGCTCAAGTAAGCCTAGGTGTGGGTTAGTCTGCCTCAGAGAAGGTGCAGTGTAAATGGAAGGCTTTCCCCCGTTCAGTCTGGTCCCACTTGACCAGTTTCTCCTGTCCACAAAGTTCCTGAAGCCACTTATAAGAAAACCACTCACAGAGAGTTCTAGCCTTGGAGGGCTTCAGGCACAGGGCCCCAACCTGAGAGACCCAAAGCCTCAGATGAGCCCCTGAAAGGGTACATTACGTCAAGGCAAGGATTTGGAGGACCATCATTCACTCTAGCACAACCAGAACATGGGGCTTGGGTTGATGTCATTATCAGCAGTATCATGGGAGTGAGGTGTAGGCAGAAGTAGCTTATTAATTGAGGACAATGTTTGGACTCTCTGTTAGTTATTTTTCTTATTGCTATGACAAAATACTAGACAAAGCAACTTAGGAAAGTTTTATTTCTGTTCACAATCTCAATGTCAAATGACAAAGGAGTTGTGGTGACAAGGGCTGCTCTAGCTATGATAGCAACTGCTCATACTCTGCAGTCAGGAAGCAGAAGAGATGATGCTGGTGCTCTGCTCACTTTTTTCTTTTCATGCAGCACAAGGGCCTCAGACTGTGGGATGTTGACTCCCATATTTGGGATTTGTCTTCCAAGTTAAGCTTCTATGGAAACTCACAGAAACACTCAGTTATATTTTACTTTGCAGGTGATCTTAGATGATTAATTAGGAACACCCACCCTGTTTTCTTTCACAGATTCTCCTTCACTCTCACTATGCTATGACATGGCATGAAGGCCAATAAACATTTATTTTTTTTTATAACTTACCCTGTCAGTGATATTTTCTTATACCACCAGGCAATGTACTAATATAGCTGGTTAAATGTGAGGGAATCTGGTTATCTTTTCTTTGCCAGTTTTATCTTCTATCATACTGACTCAGTAGTGTTATCTAGTTATAGATTATCCTGAGGATGGAAGAAATAGATTCACATGAAACAAACTGAATATAAGCAGCAGTTGATATACAGTAACCTTAATACATTTAAACTACCATTGTCTTAATTTATGATGCATAAACTAACCTTGTTTGGCCTGAGAGGATTAAAGATTATCATGCATATAAAATAATTTTTAGCAACATAACTGGTGTATTATATAAACACTTTCTCTTAGTGACCCTGTTATGTCCTTCCCTTCCAACACTATTTGTTCTGCCTGACTTCACCTTTTATTACATAGCTAGGCCCATTCCTCCTCCATTCCACAATACCTTCCCACCAACCTACTCTTATCTTCTGCTTCTATTTCTTGCTCCATTAATGTGTGAAGCAATATCTTAGAGTCAGAATGTGGTGGCTCCTGATACCAGTTTCCTTCTTTATGGGTAAACCTTGGGGAAGTGGATGGGTGTCAGAGCCCTCAAATATGGGTATGATTAGCACACCTACCAGACAGCCATCGAAAACACTTCCATTGGATCAGCTGAGGTATTGCACAAGCAAGAGATTCGTTAAACCCCAGGAAGAAGTGGCTGCTGGTTTTGGGGGACAGACTGATGCCTCTTCTGTGGTGAAATGGACTTGAAGGGAAAGGAGTCTGTCAAAGTCTGAAGTTTCCAAGGTAAATCCTTCAGGTTCCTTCTCCATAGGAATCCTTTCATTTTTCTTTTTCTTTTTTTCTGCTAAAGGTGCCTCCATATGGCCCTCTTAGAATGCCTAAAAGTTTCCTTTTGGTTGTTCAGTAGAGGTTTGGAATTTTTAGCTGTATGGATGACTGCCCTTAGAAAGCAGATGTTACTCTGGTGCCATTATTTTTGGCATAATACAGATATTTATTTGGAAAATGTAGATGTGGACACACACACACACACACACACACACACACACACACACAAATTTTGATACATTAAGAGGCTGCTTCTGAGTTTGGTGGCCAGTGTTTGGTTATGGGGATTCCTGAAATATGAATTAGGTTTGGTGGGGTGGTTCCTGCACAGGCTCAGAGGAAGAGTGTAGTGATAACTAGAGGCAGACTTTGACACTTAACATCTTTGATCTCTGCCTAGTGGACTTGGGTTTGTTATTTAATGCTCTGCTCCTTAGATTCCTCATCTAATCTTTAAGATGGAGAGGGTTATAGTGATTATACCTGTCCCAATGGATGTTCTGAGAACTGAAACTTAAAAAAAAAACTCACTGACCATATTTTATAGAACATGGTTTGCTTTATCTGAAGGTGGAAGCTTGCCTTTGATTTTTTTCTAATGTGTCAGACTACATTTTCCTCTCTCCAAAGCCATTCTACAGTGTTTTCAGCAAGAAAAGATCCAGTGCCTGCTGGTGGATTTTCTATTATTGTCCTTAAATGTGGCTCTTTCTGAAATGTGTATTAACTGGGTGCCAGCTGTGAGACAGTGGGACCGTAGAGCAAAGATGATGAGGGCACAGAGGCACAAACAAACACTTGAAAATTGAAGCCCAAACTGAGGAATATTAAAGAGCTGCTAAGGTGGTTCCCAGAGCAGGCAGAAAGGGTTCACCATTCAGACTGGCCTGGGACTAGAAGGAGTTTCTTGAAAGTTTGATTCATGGGCTGAAATTTGGTTTGGTAAAAGAGAGGTGTTCTTTAGGCCTAGTTGTAGCATGGAGGGAGGGTTTGCTTTGTGAAGGGAACAGTTCTAGGGTAGAAAGTGGCAGCGCAGGGTATGAATTCCATCATTCAGGAGAGGAATTGTGATGAATGAACAAAGCTAAACTCTCTGTAACCTAAACACTATTATTAAAAAGTGATAGAAGGAAGCATCAAGCTTTTGTGTTCTTTCCCATGACAGCCATAAGCAGCCCAAAATGGCCTCCCAGGAATTTGATAATACAGGTCTGGGGACCTCAGCAGGTGGAACCTCAACAGGCATGAACGAGAGGAGACTAATGGTTCCGTTTATCAGCTCCTGGATGGATCAAGTGATGCTCAAAGAGGAGTACTACAAGCTCTTGGGGTAAATCTGCCTTTGTCAAAGTTGGTTTATACAAGAAGGAACAAGAGATTACATAGATTCCCTCCACAATTTCTAGTTATTGTTCACTAAGTCACTGAAGACAAGATGGGGCCATAGAGACCTGAGGAGTAGAAATGTAGAATCAGTCTCATAGGGTAGAACGTTCTAACAAACTCTCCAGAGTTTATTCTAAGGCTCTTAATTGTTTCTTGGTACACTCTGACCACTCATATCAGGAGGTTTAGTTCTGTGAAGTTCATCTACCCCTTCCCTTCCCTTCTTTCTCTTCCCTTCCCTTCCCTTCCCTCCCCTCCTCCCCCTCCCCTCCCCACTCCTCCCACATCTCTTCCTATCCCTTTCCCCTCCTTTCCTCTCCCTTCCCCTCCTAACCCCTCCTCTCCTCTCCTAACCCCTCCTTTCCCTTTGTTTTTCCAGTCCCCGTGGTCCTGGGTATGAGACCAAGGTCCTCATGCATGCCAGGAAAACCCTCTTATTATTGAGCTAGAACTCCATCCCTTTGTACATTTTTAGACAGGGTCTTATTAAATCACACAGATTGGACTTGAACTAATTCTGTATTTCAGATATATGCTTCTGCCTCATTCTCCCAAGTAGCTGAGATTGCAGGCCTGTGTCACTAATGATGACCATATTGTATATTTTTAATGAAAATATTTGGAAATAAAAATTTAATAGCTGTTTACCTTTGTCATATCACATTCCTGAATAAAGCCTTCTTAGAACAAGATCTTGCCTGGTTAATTTAGGCTTAGCATTTTAATCATTTAAAGCCATGGTATCTCCTCCTTTCTGATCTCTGTTTTCTTCTTCTTCCAGGCCGTCCAGATCCTGACTGGAGTACTGATTCTGGCTCTGGGTGTTTTCTTGGGCTCTTTACAATATTTGTCATACCACTCCAGGCATTTCTTCTTCTTCACCTTCTACTCAGGCTATCCGCTCTGGGGTGCTGTGCTTGTGAGTACCATTCCCTTAGCCACAAACCATCTCTAACCCAACACTGTTAGTGTGCTGCAACAGGGGAGTGTTCTTGGGAGATTATCAGCTAGGTTTTGATTTATAATTTCTGACAATAGGAGGCAAAACCCTCTTCCTGTCAAATTAAGCCCCTTCGCTTAGTATAATAATAATTTATAGCTCCATCATTTTTCCTATGCGAGTTATGGCTTCACTTTTCTACATGGCCAAATAAAATTTCATTGTGCATATGTAACACATTTTATTTATCCATTCATTTGTTAATAAGTATGATGGATACGGCTAGTTTCATCTCCTGGGGTGGGACTTAGAGTTCTTGGACACACACACACACACACACTTTGCTTTGACTCAGGAATATGAAAATTGTATGTTTTCTGTTCTGTGTAGTATTTAGATTTTAATTTTTATATATGTGCCTAACGTCTCTCTCTCTCTCTCTCTCTCTCTCTCTCTCTCTCTCTCTCTCTCTCTCTCTGTGTGTGTGTGGGGAGGGTAATTCATGAAACTGGAGGAGGCCAAGAGAGGAGAAAAAGGGTCTTAATGGAATGAAGCGGGACAAAAGATAATAACAGAATACATGTGTTACGAAAGTAGATTGAGGGATGGTATCACTTCTCAGTCTGATAAAAGACTGTGGATATTTCCAGTTCACTGTGTGAAGCATGTACCGTGGGTTTGACATTCCTGAAATTGTGAGATGGTTAAGATAAAATTTGATGAAAGAGCTAAACTCTGAAATATTTCTGAATTGTTCTGCATAATAAATCTTGACAACCCAAGTGAAGAATTTCCACTCTGAATTTTAGAAAAGACAGAAAGGAAGTGTTTCAGGTGTTCCACAAGCATCGAGTTTTATTTTCTCAGAAAGTGGAAGGGGAGTCAGAGAGATGGCTTAGCAGTCAAGAGCACTGGCTGGTCTCCCAGAGGACCGGGCTTTGATTCCCACACTCACACCTGTAACTCCAGTTCCAGGTCTGATGCCCTCTTCTGACCTCTACAGGCATTGCACAAGTGTATAGACACATGCAGGCAAAATGCTCCCACACATACAATAAAATTTTAAAAGTAAGGGATTGCAAAGTCAGTATCTCATCTGCTTTAGCATCACCAAAAGATTGGATCATTAATTATAATTCTAGAAGCTTCTCTCTAGCTCTAAAACACTTTCAGGGCAAGTCTAAGGTGTATGACCCATTCTCCATATCTGCCCTTGCCTGTAGTCACCAACTCCAGTCCAAGCCCTCCCCATTGTGAACATGACTGTGGTGTGCCCACTATGCAGCCCTTTCTATTGCTTCATCTTTTATAATTCTATCAAGGATGTGGTCTTAGTGATGTGAATGTTTGCCCTCAGTTTCCTTATTAGAGTGTCAGAAGTAGCAAAAAGGATCTTCTGTTGGGATCTCTGGAATTAAATGAGAGGTACATGTTAGTGTTAATTTGGACGCTCTCTGTGTCCTGGCAAACATGTACTTCCATTTTTGTATCTTTCATTTTAGTATTACACAGCTCTTACGTGATATTTACATGTGGATGTGAATTTAGATGGGAAAAGAGCTGAGGTGAAGAAACAGTGATCTATCTACCCATGAGATGAAGCTGGTATTGAAAACAAAGATGCTCTTTCACAAAGTGCAGTGAAGGGAAGACTTGTGATAACATTTGTTATCCGAGTCAGAACTCAAAGACTGTCCTGCATTTTCTCTCTTATTCTTCCCAAATACAGTTTCCCATCCCTCCATTTCTCCCAGTGTCCCCAATCCTCCATTCCCTTTCAATCCTCCTCCGTCCCGCTCTGAAAAAAAAAAAAAAAAAAAAAAAAAGAGCAGGCCACCCAGGGATATCAACTGAACATATTTTAACAAGTTACAATAAGACTAGGTCTAAACCCTCATATCCAGGCTGGATGAGGCAACACAGTGGGAGGAAAAGGGCCTCAAGCACAGATAAAAGAGTCAGAGACAGTCTCCATTCCCACTGTCAGGAGTTCCAGAAGAACACCAAGCTACACACAACCATAACCATATGTAGAGGACCTAGCTCAGATTCATACACGCTTTGTGATTGTTGCTTCACTTTCTGTGAACCCTTCTGAGCCCTTAGTTGATTCTGTGGGCTGTGTCTTCTTTTTCCAAACCTTCTGGCCCCTACAATCCTCCCATACCCTTCTGCAGGATTCTCTCCTGGCTCTGCCTAGTGTTTGGCTCTGGGTCTCTGCATCTGCTCCTGTCAGTTGCTAGATGACACCGCTCTGATGAAAATTACTAGGCTCTGATCTATGAGTATAATAGAATATCATTAGGAGTCACTTCATTGATTTTCAGAATTCAGTAATTGAATTTTATTTAGTAAGCCTTTCTTTGTTCTCCAAGATTTGGTAACTTGTTAAAGTTCTAAAATCTTACCAATTTAAGATAGGAAAAGTTTGAATAATCATAAGTATATATGAAATTAAATTGATCAAAATTAGAATCATGGAAATAGTTGCACATTAAAACAATGATCTAAAAACTAGAGAATACAGAAGTGGGCATTTAGAGTTATGAATTCTCTTTTGAAGCATCTAGATAGATAAATCAGATGCATTGGCAGTGATGTGAGAATTTTAAAAATATGTATCATTTCTATTAACATAAGCATGAGAATAACTATGATATTCATTATTCATATCCATATAAACATGTTAAAAGCTAGACATAAACAAAATGAAATTGTGATGCATTTACTTAGAATATGAACTATGTAAAAATTTCAGTCATATAAAACACCGAGTAGTGTGAAATACACTTTGTGTGAATTTGTGTAATTTCTGTTAGAAACCTATTGTCAAGGGAATGCTGAGGAGAAAGTGGTAAAGACTAAATATACCTTTATCTGTCTTATTTCCTACTTTAAAAGTTTATCAGCTCAGGATCCTTGACTGTGGCAGCAGGGAGAAAACCCACAAGAATGCTGGTAAGTGTCAATTCTCCTTCTTTGTCTAGATGACCAAAGGAGAAGAAATAAATTACCCACCAATGGCAGAGAAGCAGAGGATGGTGAATCCAGCTGAGGAACCAAGTCTCATTTAATCCCTTCAAGCATCCAGTGGTACATAATCCAGAAAATCTAATTAATTGTGAATGTCTGGGATTATTATTCTGAATAGCTAGTGAGTCTGAAGCTTCAAAGCAAGCTTCTTAATGTTTGTGTTGTCAGGCTTAGCAAATTATTTTTAGTGAATGGTTTTTTATTACTAACTTCAAAACTGAAAGCAAAAATTCTATTCATTCATTCATTCATTCGCTTGTTTCTCAAGACAGGGTTTCTCTGTGTAGCCCTGGCTGTACTGGAACTCACTCTGTAGACCAGGTTAGCCTTGAACTCACAGAGATCTGCCTACCTCTGCCTAAAGTGCTGGGATTGAAGGCTTATGCTTTTAGACCCTAATTCTGGGGCCCTGATGGGCCAGTGGGAGAGCCCCATGACACAAACACCAAAATCAGGAGATGCAACAAGCAAGAGGTGTTTATTGAACGAGTGCACTTGGGTGACAGCGATCTTGGGGAAAGCTGCACATCCCCAAAAGGGTTTAGGCTCTTTTTATAGAGAAAAACCACAATCAGCATACATGCATAGGGCACAAGGTAATTGATTACAAAGTATGATCTCATGTTTGAGAGATCACCGAGGTATGACTTGTTCTTATTCAAAGGATAAACCATAGAATGACTTGGAAAGTCCCCAGACTGTCCGTTGGGCAGGAGTGACCCAGACAGGGCTGTTCCCCTGAACTACAGGGCTTTATATAATATATGTCTCTGTTAATTCTGACTTAGTTTCCTAATCTTATCCACTTTGGCTCCCTTGCTTCCTGGGGACTCTGTGGCCTCAGGAACTTTAAACTGTCTTCTTTACCCAGACTTCCTCTGGGCCATCTTGGGGAAGTGCTCAATTATTTATTCCTGTCTCCATATGTTATTAGTACTTACTGTCACCTCCACTCCTCTCACTAGATTTCCATTGTTATACCATTCTATTAGCCTCAATACTTAATTACTTAAAAATGTGGCATAATTTATATGTTAGTGTTTATTATTTTCTTTGGTGTTTTAAGAGTATGAGATAGGGCCTCATATGTTATAGGGTAGCTTTGGATTTTAATCTCTGCTATCACTTACAGAGAGTTTGAATTATAGGCATCTTCAATGACAGCCAGTTGATGAACTAGTAAAGATTGATCCTGGGACTTCATACATCTTAGGCAAGCATTCTACCAACTGAGCTGTGTACCCTAACCTCTTCATTGACTTTATTGCTAAATTGTACCACCGGGAATCTTTGTTCATGGGAGCTCGGGCTGCAGTTAGAATGCTGATGGGTGTGTAAATAGATACTTCTTTAAATGGAATGTTACCAAGGTGTTAAACGATATTCTATGTACATTAATGGACTTTTTTGTTTTAGATGCAAAACAGTTTTGGGATGAACTTTGCCAGCGCAATGATTGCATTTGTTGGGACTGCTGTCCTCTCTGCACATTTGGCACTCAATACCCAGAAGTTCAAGAGTTGCCAGTCTTCACAGCCACATGACTTATGCGTTTACCTGGGTTCCTTATCAAATGTATGTTTTTAAAATTTGTTAATAACATATTTCAAAGCATTCAAAATACTCAGAAAAACAGTATCTTGTATACTATGTTAACATGAATGTCGGCTTTGCTCTTTATTAGTTTTGTAATGAAGGGCACATTAGACAGTCTATATTTTAATTATTTTTTGTTCTCTGTGTAGCTTTGTAGACCAGGCTAGTCTTGAACTCACATGGATCTGCCTTCCTCTGCCTCCTGAGTGTATGAATATTTTAATTTTCTTATTTTTGAAAAGAAGATAATAATGGATAGCACCTAGCTAATGAATTGGTTAATATTTGCAAAGTAGAGAAACAATGCTTAGATATCATGTTGTATTATTATTACTACTATTTATTATGCTCTCCAGAGAGAATACATTAAACAATTTATTTCACATACCTTTGTTTGATGAAATGAACTTCAGAGACATACAACTTTTTCTGCAGTCTGGAATGTTTGTGCATATTAGGTTCACACTCTATCAAGGGGGCTACACACATGCATGCACACGTGCGCGCGCACGCACACACACACACACACACACACACATATGAGCTAGATTGTGTATGCCTGTATGACTATTTTGTTTATGTTCCCTGCATTATGTATGTATGTGCACTATGTGTATGCCTGATTCTTGAGGAAGTCAGAAGAGGGTATTAGATCTCCTGGAAATGGAGTTACAGATGGTTGTGACAAGCCATTTTGGTGCCCTTAACTGCTGAGCTGTCTCTCTAGTCTTTCCTTTATTATATTTTTAATCATGTAAATTTATACTTATCTGTGTCTATTTTTCCAGATTAAGTGGCATTTTTCCCTCCATAGACATTTTCCCCTCTGTTGAAATTTGATTATGTATTTCTTCTAGGTGCTCAGCAATAATGGAATGGAATTTTCTGCAGTAATGTGTTATGGTTCTCCCAGAATTGTATTTTTGTCTTTGGCCTAATGTAAATGCCTACCCCTTCCCTCTTATATCCTGTTGGTGGAATCATGGAGGAGTCATTTTTTTTGTTCATTTCACTAAACTGTGTATTAATTTTGGCAAATTATTATATTTATAAGCGTTAGTGATAGTGTCAGAATTTTTCTTCTATGATTTCTTCTCCCCTTGACTAGTTCACATAGGTCAATCTAGCAATAACATGTATCTTTCTCCCGGGACAATATTGTCATGATTTTGCATCAATACTGGATCCCTTCTTCTGTCTAACTTGCGTCTCACTCTGTTCCCCTCTGAGGGTTTTGCAGTCTGGTTTCCTGTGAACAGTTTTACCTCTGAATGTTTCCACTGATTTGATGTGAGGCATCTTTTCTATAGGGCCTGGTGTCTCTAATGCTGATCCTTACCCTGCTGGAACTGGCTGTGACCATTTCAGTCTCTGTCATGTGGTGTCTTGGAAATTTTTGTGGTTCGAGAGAGGTGAGTTTGTGTAAGTGATGGGCAAGTTCTGTCATCTGCAAGTTCCATAATGTATGAAGTTATATCTGACTTTTAGTAGAAACTTTTATATGATTATGATTTGTGTGGATCTGGGAATTATTTATTAGCTCAAAGTATGAAATGAAGCAAGGCTGTAAATGATTCAGATTTGAAAATGTGAACTATATATTAATTTACATTTTAATGCAGTTAAACTATTTTTAATTATTTTCTTGTAAGTTTTTACTTTTGAGCATGACTCAGGATGACAACATGTTCTTGCTATATATTTAGATCTCTAATTTGGTTTCTTAAAATTTTCCATTTTCAATTTCTTTTTGCCCAAGAAGGCTTTACACAGTCCTATGTAGTTAGGTATACAAAATAGGTATTCAGTTGAAATATTTACAGATAATAAATTAATATTTAAAGATATTTATTTAAAACAATTAGTTGATATGTCATTTTACTACATTAAAGATCATAGCAAGGTTGCATGTTAATGAAATGAATGTGATTGTTTATTTTTCCATAATAATTAAATTTTGGCTACATATTGGGTGCTGCAGGATTAAGATCATCTTGTTTCTGAGAGTTGATTAATATTCTGATTTTTATTATTGTTAAGGCTAAGAATGTGCTTTGCATTAACATATAGTAAAAGTGATAAAATATGTTTAATATGTTTATAGCCATTTTGAAAACTGCTGGAAATTATATTCTAATCCTTCATCAAAATTCATTCACCAATGTTTTATGAAACAAGTCAGAAATCCAAAGAGCAATTTTTAAAATCAAACACTCTAACATAAAACAACCAAAGTTATGCTAATTAGATGTTTACATGGTAAGGAAGAATAGTAGACAAATATTACAGGTGTTGTTCTTTTGCTATAATTATTGCCCAAGAAAAACAAACATGAGACTGAACGCCCATGTGGAGTTTATTGATAGAGGGGAGAGGAAGGGGATAGCTGGTGACCAACCGAAAGCAGGGGGGAGAGAGAGAGAGCGCAAGAGAGAAAGAGCAAGAGAGAGAGGGAGAGAGATAGAGATAGAGAGAGGGAGGTGCACTTGGTGAGCTTGCTTTAAAAAGGAAACTTGCACATAAGTAACTGAGTCCCCTGGCAGCCAGGTAAAGCTTGAGCAGGTAAGTCATGATGTAGAGAAGACATGGCCATGAGCATCCCGTCCATCATGAGGGGGTGGGGTCAGCAGACTGCTGGTTCCCAACAACAGGTATTTGTTTTCTATAATTACACTACTATGCATTTGATTTTTATTGACATTCTCCTGCACAATCTCCACATTCAGTTCTGGAAACCACATATGTATCAGCAAGCTATAGAAATGGAAATAAAAGTGTTTTGATTGCCTCCTGATCCATAGGCATATAATCATTATTCAGTGTTTAGCAGGAAAATGATCAGTGAAGCAAAATCTGTGGATATGTGATCCACAGTGATCAAGGTGGCAATAAGAAAGGATGGAGTGGAGAGGGGAGGTGACGATCCTCTTCTTGAGAACTGATGTCTCACTTTCTAGGCAATTTCTTTACCTCCTAAGTCTACAGAATCAGGAATAATAACCCCTGGTGGAAGCGATTCTGAGAACCCAGACAGCCAGCCTCAAGTCACCACAGAGTGAGAACTTCACTTGAGAACTCAGAAGAGCATGAGGAGATGAAATGCAATCCATGATAAAGCTGGGCACCTTCTCTAATGCTTTCTCCCATCCCCGTTTCCATTCTAAAATGTACATTAATTACAGTAAGTGCCTACATCAAAATTGAATAAATCTTGTACTAGTAACTTTGTGACACAACTGTAAATCCACTAGTATGTTCTAGATCTGGATGAATAAATATATTTCCTTAGACATTTTTGGATTGGCAACTTATATGGTCCTCCTTACAAAGCTGTTCCCAGAAACTGAATCTCTCTCTCTCTCTCTCTCTCTCTCTCTCTCTCTCTCTCTCTCTCCTTCTTCTTCTACTTTATTGCTTTTTGAGGCTTAAGAATGAAATTCCTTAATTTACTTAATTTCCTCCCTCCCTCTCTCTCCCTTTCTCCCTCCTCCCCTCTCTCCCTGCCTCCCCTTTCTCTTCCTTCCTTCCTTCCTTACTTCCTTTCTTTCTTCCTTCCTTTCTTTCTAATACTGTGTCTCATGTTCTGTAGGGTTGGCTTCCAACAACCTATGTAGCCAAGTCTGGCTTTGAACTACTGATTTTCCTATCTTCATCTCCTAAGTTTCAAGATTAGAGGCACATACAAGCATACTCAATTTGATATTGTATACTCACAGTTCTCCTTCCAAGTGTTGAGATTATAGTCATGAGCCACCACATCCAGCTGTAATCACTATTGTGTAGATTTTCGATAAATCCAAATTGCTGCCACCTCATGGGAAAAAGAATGAGCCAAATTTTTAGCACAGAAAAAAAATGGTCTTAAGTTTGGCTGACATTAGTATTCAATCTAGCAAGTAAAACAAAAGCAAAAACAAACAAGTTGTGATTAATTTATACTTCACTGTACTTGAAGCTTCAAATTCTATTTCCATCAGCTTCTGGGCTGTCACATGACCCAGAACAATGGTGGTTTGGATCAGTGGCTTTTCTTCTTCAAAGGATCTTGGGAACCTAAAGTAGAGACGTGAAAAGCAAGGACAAATTGGACAGATCTATGGTTCAAATTCGGGTTGTGTTACCTACTGACACCTGTGGCCATTTGCCATTAATTGTACTTCTATTACGTTACAGATAATCTACTTCCTTTTATTTGAATATGTCTTCAAGCAATCCTTATCAGAACATATTAACAGTGACCAGGACACTGTGATTTCCTCAGTAGTGTTCCCTACATCCTGAATTGATAGCCACATTCAGATTTTGGTGGAAATGACCTTACTTGGAGGTCCAGGGACAAACTCTGAATGATTTAACTCTATTTAGATACTTACCTTGATGGTTGTGTTGGCTCATGACATCTCCACAGGCAGCAGCTTGGCTCTAGTGTAGAGCCATATTCTCTAAGGAGGCTTTATTACTTTCTCATAAAATATGTAACTCAAATATAACTAGAGATGGAAGCCATTATGAGATAATGACTTAAGGTTGCTGAATAATTAAGCTGAAGGCTACACAAGAGAAATTTAGAAAATAGAAGTTGACTAGAATTTGCATCTAGTATCTGGTGTCTCTTTAGTTCATGATGTGAGTGTGTGCTGGCCAGAGGACAATCCCAGGTGTCATGCCTCCCCAGGCACCATCTACCTTATTTGTTTCTTTTCAACAGGGTATCTCACTGGATGTAGGGCTCACTAATTAGGGTCAGCTGGCTGGTCAAGGAATTCCAAGGACCTTCCTGTATACCCTTCTTCATTACTGGGATTACCAGGGTATGCCACCATGCCTGCCTTTTATTTAATTTTTAAAAATTTTACTTAATGCAGGATCAAACCCATGTTTTCCTTCTTGCACATGAAATACTTTAGGAATTGAGTTATCTCGGCAGACCTGTATTTTGTAGTGAATTTCCTTTCTTGATGTTGTCAAAAAGTATTCTTTATCCATTCTGGATACTTTCCATAAATAAATGGTGTTGTTCTATATCATGTTAAAATAATCTTTCCGGGGCCCTGTTTGGAGCCTCCTGAGGCCTGGGAACTTCACTCACAAGGGAGCCCGTCCCTGTGGACTAGCCCATCTGGAGTCTGCCTTTGTCCTAGTCTCACATCTACCCACAGAAGGGGTTACTAATTTTACATCACAACTCCTGCCACCATCCACTGGAAGAGGAGAGCTATTGGAGTATTAGACCTGTTTGCACCCACCATGCTCTAAAGTTAGAATTCAACAACAACATAAATTGCAGAAACCCTACAAACTCCTGGATATTGAATAAGGTACAATTGCACCATTCCTGGGTCAAGGAAGAAATAAAGAAAGAAATCAAAGACTTCCTAGAACTCAATGAGAATGAAGGCACAACATACCCCTAACCTATGGGATATTTGAAATCAGTACTAAGAGGAAAGTTCATAGCACTAAGTGTCCACATGAAGAAACTGGACAATAGTCACACTAGAGGATTAACAGGACAACTGAAAGCTCTAGAACAAAAAGAAGCAAACTCACCCAGGAGGAGTAGATGCTAGGAAATGATCAACTTGAGGGCTGAAATCAATAAGGTAGAAACTAGGAAAACAATGCAAAGAGTCAATGTAACAAAGAGTTGGTTCTTTGAGAAAATAAAGACAGACAAATCTTTATCCAAACTAACCAAAAGACAGAGAGAAAACATGCAAATTAACCAAGTCAGAAATGAAAAGGGGGAAATAACAACAGATACTGAGGAAATCTAGAGAGTCTACAGGTCATACTTTGAAAACCTATACTCTACAAAATTTGAAAATTTAATGGAAATGGACAATTTTCTGGATAGCTAACACTTACTAAAATTAAACCAAGAGCAAATAAACAACTTAAATAGACCTATAACCCCCAATGAAATAGAAGCAGTCATCAAAAGCCTCCCAAAAAAAAAAAAAAAAAAAAAGCCAAGGGCCAGATGGTTTTAGTGCAGAATTCTACCAGAAATTCAAAGAAAAGCTAATATCAATACTCCTCAAAGTGTTTCACACAATAGAATCAGAAGGTTCATTGCCAAACTCATTTTATGAGGTTACAATTACCTTGGTACCCAAGCCACACAAAGACACAACTAAGAAAGAGAACACAGACCAATATTCCCCATGAACATTGATGCAAAAATACTCAATAAAATACTGGCAAATCGAATTCAAGAAAACATCAGAGGAATCATCCACCATGACCAAGTAGATTTCATCCCAGGGATGCAGGGATGGTTCAGCATATGAAAATCCATCAATGTAATCCACTACATAAACAAACTAAAAAAGAAAAAACCACATGATCATCTCACTAGTTGCTTAAAAAGCCTTTGACAAAATCCAACACCCCTACATGATACAGGTCTTGGAGAGACCAGGGATAACAGGAACATAACAAAACATAATAAAACAATGTACAGCAAACCAACAGCTAACATTAAACTAAATGGAGAGAAACTCATAGTGATTCCTCTAAAATCAGGAACAAGACAAGACTGTCCACTCCATATCTCTTATTGCTCAACTAGAGCAATAAGACAACAAAAGGAGATCAAAGGGATACAAATTGGAAAGGAAGAAGTCAAACTGTCACTATTTGCTGATATGATAGTTTACATAAGTAACCCAAAAAACTCTACCAGGGAACACCTACAGCTGATAAACACCTTTAGCAAAGTGGCAGGATAGAAGATTAACTAAAAAAAAAAAAATCAGTAGCCCTGCTATATACAGATGATGAAGGGGCTGAGAAAGAAATCAGAGAACCATCACTCTTTAAGTAGCCATAAACAACGTAAAATATCTTGGGGTAACACTATCCAAACAATATAGGTGAAAGACCTATATAGCAATAAGTTTGTGTCTTTAAAGAAAGAAATTAAAGAAGATACCAGAAAATGGAAAGATCTCCCATGCTCTTGGATAGATAGGATAAACAGTAAAAATGGCAATCTTGCCAAAAGCAATCTACAGATTCAGTGCAATCCCCATCAAAATCCCAGCACAATTCTTCACCGAACTTGAAAGGATAATACTCAACTTTATATGGAAAAACAAAAGGCCCAGGATAGCCAAAACAACCCTGTATGATAAAGGAACTCCAGGAGGCATCACCATCCACGACTTTAAGGTCTACTACAGAACTATAGTCCTGAAAACAGCCTGGTATTGGCACAAAAATAGAAAAGTAGACCAATGGAATCAATTCCACAATCCTGATATTAACCTACATACCTATGAACACCTGCTTTTTGACAAAACAACTAAAAGTATACAATGGGAGAATGAAAGCATCTTCAACAAATGGTGCTGGCACAACAGGATGATGGTGTGTAGAAGACTGCAGATAGACCCATGTCTAATGCCACTCACTAAACTCAAGTCCAAATGGATCAAAGACCTCAACATAAACCCAGCCACACTGAACCTCTTAGAAGAGAAAGTGGGAGGTACCCATGAATGAATTGGTACAGGAGACCTCTTCCTTAACAAAATGCCAGAAGCATAGAAACAACTAATAAATGGGACCTCCTGAAATTGAAAAGCTTCTGTAAGGCAAGGACACAGTCAACAAGACAACAAGGCAGCCCACAGAATGGGAAAAGATCTTCATCAACCCAACATCTGACAGAGGGCTAATTTCCAAAATATACAAAGAACTCAGGAAGCTATATACCAAAACATCAAATAATTAATTTAAAAAGTGGGATACAGAACTAAACAGAAAATTCTCAATAGAGGAATCTAAAATGGCTAAAACACACTTAAGAAAGTGCTTAACATCCTTAGCCATCAGGGAAATGCAAATCAAAACAACTCTGAGGTATCATCTTACACCTGCTAGAATGGCTAAGGTCAAAAACATTATAGACTGTTTATGTTGGAAAGGGTGTGGAGAAAGGGCACAATCCTTCACTGTTGGTGGGAGTGCAAACGTGTATTGCTATTTTGGAATTCAGTATGGTAATTCCTCAGGAAATTGGGTATCAGTCTACCTCAACATCCAACAATTCCACTCTTAGGCATATACCCAAAAGATGAACATTCATACAACAAGGATATCTGTTCAATTATGTTCATAGCAGCATTTTTTTTCGTAATATCCAGAACTTGGAAGAAACCTAAATGCCCCCCAACTGAATAATGGATGGAGAAAATTTGGTACATTTACACAATTACTACTCATCGGAAAAAAAAAAAAAAAAAAAAAAAAAAAACAATGGAATCTCGAAATTCGCAGGCAAATGGATGGAACTAGAAGAAAC